AGCTCAATAATATCGCTTATGTTTCTATTCAGCCCATTAAGGAATCTAGTCATGGTAACCTTTCTTTCCTCCTCAATTTGGATAAGGAAATGATCATGAAAAATTTTAAAAGAGGTTATAGTCGTTCAAAAACCAGGTCAAAACTTCAAATATAAAATTCAAATCAAATCTTCTAAGTTCAGCCCTCAAAGTGGTGTGAAATAGCAAATTAGACAAAATTTTCAATTTTGTGATCTTATCTTACCCAACTCAATTGACACGGTTTTTGGCATAAAAGTGGATCCAATTTGTAATAATTGAGTAAGAGATCAGCTGAAGTGATGTAGACTAATAGAAAAAGAAGCTTGATTTACTAAAATTCATTGAAAATGACTTTGAGTCAATGATTTAATTGCTAACCAAGAGGCCTAACCAAATACCAACCAAACTTAGCTAACAAATAGTGTTATGTGAGGAGAAAAATCTGAAGTTAGTAATCAAGAATTAAAGGCAAAATAAGCAAGTACACTTAGACTTGGGCAAATTAGATGACTTCATAAAAGTCAAAATTTCTACATTGAGCATGATTTTTTGGGACTACTTTTCACGAGGATAAAATCTGAATTTGGGAAAGATTTTGAAAGAAAAGTTACTTCAATTAGACCCCTCTAGCTGATCGTAAACTCCCTATCCCATAAAAGCTAAGAAAAAATTTGAAAAACACCCACCAAAGACAAGGCAGTTTTCACGTGTAAAATGGACCAAAATTTGAATACTTAGCAAAAAATTCTAAATCCAGCCAAATCAAGCTCTTTTAAACACTTGACTACATCTAACACATATTAAAAATAAACCCCACCACTCAAGCATGTCATCTTCCATGCGAACAAAGTAGGAAAAACTCTAAAAACACCAATAACCTCACTACCAAAACTAAGCAAAAGAACTCCAACATTTGACGATCTTTTTGGACACACTCAAATCTGACTTGGAAGGGCAGTAAAGAGGTTCAAACCAGGCTAAGAAAAAGAGGAGGGACAGGGGATCAATACATTTTCAACCTCATAGAAAAGATAAGACAAAATCAAGTTAGAGAGGGGAGTATAGTTCATAAATTAGGGGAATACTTTTGCTAATTAATTTTTGAGTCAAGGGAAACCCTTAACCCTTTATATTGAATGAAAATTTTGTAGGTCTAGTTGATACATGAAAATAAAATTGATTGGAACAAGAAAATCTAAAGAAATCATTAAAAAATCAAAAACAAGGAATTCTGTAAAAGATCTTAACAAATTCTAAATGGGTATTTTGAGAGGATTTTGTTGATGACTTTGCTTTCTATGTGTTACTATCATGATATTATATAATTATATATGAATTCAAGTGTTAGAATTGTTTGAGCATTCTTTTAAAATTTTGCATTTTCTATCATAAACTATGTTGTTTTTGTAAATATCTTTTTTGATACATGATTAGAGTTCTAATCATTTGTTTGACCTTTATATAGCATAGCTTAAATATACCAACCTTAGTTAAAATTCGTGATTGGACTTTGATAGAGTATAAAAAGGAATTTTCACAAAATTTTAAGAGGATTTATGGTTTTGAGATAGTTAGAATTGATTTTATGTTGTTTTTGATTTTAGAAAATTCCAAAAATCATAAAAATGTTTTCAGAATATCAGCATACATGATTTTATTATTATTTTGGATTTATTTTGAATTTAAATGATATTTTGAATATATTTTTAAAGATTTTGGGTAAAAGAGTTAAAGTAAAATGATCTAAAAATGAAAAATAACTACAAAATAAATTTTTGGACTCAAGGACACTTTTGGAATCTTTGAAGTATGAGAAGAATATGAAATTAACTAAGTTATTGAATTAAATTTGAAAGATTGGACTTTTAAATAAGAAAATACCATGAATTGAGATAAATAGACTTAAAAAATGCAAAATAATTAATTACATGAGTGGTAGGATCAAATGAATATTTTTTACCATATTGAGACTGGACAATGACCTAGAGGCAAGGGAAAAATGTGCTGAACAACATGAAAATCATCAAGTTTTAATAAAAGCCTTTTTGCAAATACACTAAAGTTAGGGACTAAATTGTAATTTCTATAAATTATAGGGACTGTTTTGCAAATTTTTACAAAACTACTTTATTTATATATAAGACTCTATTAGAATTAATTTCTCATTGGTTTCGCTAAAATTCATTTTAAATTGAATTAATTACGATTTTAAAACTAAGTTGTTGATAAATAAAAAGAATTATATGACTTGCAGAGGACAATTTTGTCACGTGTAAGGTTCTGTAAGTGTTTAAATTTTTATTATATTTTTGTTACATAGAGGAAAATATCCTGACTAGTTTCATCATTTTTGGACTTAAAAAAATAAAGTCTTGTGACCTGCAGAGGAAGTTTGTTTTTAATAGAGTGACCTAAGAGCCTCAGGTTTGATAAGATAACAACCCAATGGATGTCATAAAATTGGGATTTAAAATAAATAAGTTATGATTTTTCTAAGAATCTCTTACTGAAATAAAGCAATTTGTGACCTGGCTATAGAAAATAAATTTTGAATTAGAGTCTGTAAGGATGTGTTCTGAGAATGTATTTTTGTATGATAGTAGATACTTGTAGGAACAGAACATTATAGTTATGAATTTTTCAATTTGGTGAGTTGTGAAAATAACATTATATGAATAATAGAGAGGAACTAGGTTAAGTGTTATGTTCTATGGGAGAATGATTTATGTGTGCATATTTGTTGAAAAGTAGATACTTGAAGCAAGAAAAACTCATTGATTTCATGATTTTTGAAGTTATAATGATTTAATTACAAATATTTCATTATATAGGTGTTAGAAATGATATTTTGGGAACAACTGAGTAAAACTAAGTTTCAAAGGGCTCTATGAATAAATAATTTATACTTGTATTTTGACATGTAAATAAAAAAAACTCAAGCAATTTCAAGATTTTTGGATTTATATTGATATAGTTATGAATTTCACAAGTTTGGGCATGAAATATGAAAAAAATCTGAAAATAGCATATCCATAAAATGAATTGTTATCTTGTTTTGATGAATGAACGATTATGATAAATACATATCCAATAGATAAATTGATGGCATAAATTTATGTCGTGATTGTGAAATAATTCATAAGGATAATAGTTGAAAATTTCAGTACAAGCGATGAGTAAATAATTTTAGTTTTATCACAGGGGATAGTAAAGTACACAAGTTCTAGCAAGAAATCAAGTCTAACTAATTTGTGTCATAAAAAGTGAGAAATATGCTAAATTATCCTAAAAGACATTAGGGCTCTTTAAAAAAATTATAAAATGTAATAAGCAAAATAAACGCATATATTAATAATTTTATTAAAATAATATATTTTTTTAAGTGGCTATAATTTTTTCTAATAAAATTATTAAAAAAATATTCTTTCATTCAACCAATTCCTATATTATAATTAACTACAGTAACAAAACAAATCATAAAAAATGGGTTCTACGAGTATTTTAAAATGCAAAATCATTAATGATAACATTAACATTAATATTTTTTAAAAATTCTTTATCGATTGATAAAATTGTGAGACTATTCAACGGCTCTTGTGATATTGATGACCTTAGGTAGGTTTTGATTAACTTTAACTCTAAAAAACTTCTTTCAATTGATGATATAGTCACTGGGACCCTAAAAAAATTTTTATAAGTGATTAAAACATTTAGATAACAATTTGTAAATTTGACAAACTCAATAACTGTTTTATTTTTTTTGGAGAAAACTAAATTTCTCCATGAGCTTTAATGTTAAGAATAGTAAAATTTTGTAATTAAATGAAATTTTGAGTCTACAGAAATCAATGAGTTGACTACATTTATAGCAAGTGAGGTGCACGGAATTAAAAAGTCTTTTTTATTTTTCTATTTTTTTCAACTGCAAATTGTAAGAGGTAGAATTTTTTTTCAAGAAAATAGGACATAATTTTTACTTTGGGCCCTCTAAACTACTTTCAAAATCGGGTCTGGGAACAAACATGACAATATGTATTTGAGTAAATAAATTTTTAGTATTTTTTGTTCAAGTTCTAATTCTAAATCAGCACAAATACCTCTTTTTCTTTTCTTGCTTGAAGCTCCCTCTTCAAAAGTAAAGCACTCATGTATATTCATCCATGAAGCATCATTTGGTAAACATGGATCCTCTTTTTCAACAATCCATTCATCATTTGATTCAATATCGGATAAGCATATGGGATCATAAGTCTCTCCCCTCTCTTCTCTACACTTTTGTCTCATCTCTAATTGTAGGTTATATTTAATAAACACAAGTGCATTTAGTCTTTGTTGTTCCAAACAATTTCTTCTTTTAGTATGCACTAAATCAAATGTACTCCAATTCCTTTCACATCTTGTTGCACTACATGTAAGACTCAAAATTTTCATGGCTACCTTTTGCAACTCTTTACCATCTCCACCACAACTCTCCCACCAAAGAGTTATTAAAATTCAAAACAAAATATGTATAAACAATTAGCAAAGTATATCATGTTACTTATTGGTTTATAATTATTTGTAAAATTAACAGAGTATCAAGATTGAAGAGTTACCGGGTTGCTTCTTGTCTCTAGTGTCTATTACCATATTCATTCCAAACAATCCTTTGGCTGACTTAAACTTCTCAAGTTGTTGATCAATAAAAAATCTTGTCCTTCTATCTGAAACCATTCTTTCAATAGTTTCATATAAACCATACAAAACCTCACAATCTGGATTAAAGTTTGTCATAATAGAACCTAACCAAACAATAAAAATTGGTCAGGATGAATAGGCTACTAAATGAAATTTAAGATATTAAGAATGTCTACTTACCTAGAATTGAGATAATATGCTGCTGCATGGAGAGGTCTATGTATTTGTAAATTCCACCTAGTATCAATGATCTTCCACACTTTCTTATACTTTGACTCTTTCTTTTGGAAATTTTCAGCAATTTACTCTTTGGTTCTATCCATTGCTTCATAAATATATGGCATGGCTGATTTTGAATCACCATCTACAAGTCTAAGTACTTTCACAAGTGGAATTACACACTTTAAACAATATTTGATGGATTTCCAAAATTTATCATCACTCAACACTATGCTCATCACTTGCTTAGCCTCAACTCTATTAGCATAAGAACTAGAAGCAAACTCTTCTGAAGCAAACATAGATTTAAGAGCATTTTTTTGTTGCATAATGCAATTTAATGTGAGATAAGCAGTTGCAAACTTTGTTACGGCTGGTCTAGCTAACTCCCTTCCCTTGGAATGCTTTCTGTACAAATTAAGGACCCATGTATGCCTATATATGTAAGTTGTGATTTTCTTTGCATTTGTAATGGTAGCATAAAAAATTGGAAGCTCTCCAATATCCTCTAGCATTAAATCAAGGCAATAGGCTGCACAAGGTGACCAAAATAATTTAGTTCTCTTCTCTTCTAATATTTTTCCTGCTGCCACAAGATTAGAAGCACCATCTGTTACAACTTGCACTATATTTTCTTCCCCAATTTCATCTACCATGCTGTCCAATAATTCAAACATTTGTTTGACATCCTTAATTACATCACTAGTATCAATAGATTTTAGAAAAACAGTCCCACTAGGACTGTTAACAAGAAAATTAGTAAGTGACCTTCCTTTCCCATCTGTCCAACCATCACACATCAAAGTGCAGCCCCATTTCTCCCATTCACTTTTGTATTTCTCCAAATTTTGATGGATGCTATCAGCTGCTTTCTTAAAAAAAGAGACTCTGACTTCATGATAAGTAGGAGGTTTTAAACCCTTGCCAAATTCTCCAACAACTTTGACCATTTGAATAAAATGGGGGCTTCTAACCAAATTAAATGGTAAGGCATTATTAGCATAAATGCATTTGCAAATTTTTTGAATGACAACATCTCTATCTTTAAACATTGTATTCATTGTGGTTTGCTTTAAATTTTTAGATGTCCCTCCATTTTCTTTGTTGACAAAAGAATCCATACTTTTCTTTTGATGACCACTTACATCCTGAGTCTCAGCTTCTTCAAAAAACTTCAAGCTATTTTCATCTTTTTTCTTTTCTTTCTCTTCCAATAGCTTGATGAATATCTCCTTTACCTCATCGGGAACACTTGTACAGGCACTTACATTTGCCCTTGTTCCAGCTAAATGATGTTTCATCCTTGCAACTCTACCCCAACAAGAATGAGAACAATATTTGCATTTTTCTAATAGCCTGTGCGGAGGGACACTTTCACAATGTTTCCATGTGATATCACTTTCTTTTGTTTTTTTTGTAGGACCCATTTGTCTCCCCAAATAGCAAACAGCAAGTAAAAAAGAGAGGAGAAGCCAAATAAAAAAAAAGGAACCGTGGCAGAGGGAGAGGGGACCAGAAGTTGTGAGAAGGATTGAGAATATGATGAATATTAAACTCTGTACGTAGAGAAAAGAGAAAAGAAAAGACCGGGAATGAAAAGGAAATAAGAAAATAGGGTTTCCTTTTAATATTTTATAGTGGGTGTACCAACAGAAAAAAATTAAAGTAAAAATCGGCAGTTCTGTAAAAAAAAATTAATTTTTTTTTTAGGGTTTTTACTGTTTTGGGTCGCGCCGACCCGACCCGTTTTTTTTGCAAGACCCGGGTTACGCTTGAATTGTGCGCCGCGCACTGAATCGCGTCTCAGCATGCGATTCGGTCGATAAATGTGATTCGTAATGCGATTCCAAATTTAAAACGATACTTGATTTGATATGTATCGCTGCCACAGATTCGTATCGAATCGGTAGATTCGTATCGTGTTTCGTGCGATTCTAACTACCGTGGTTGGGAGTATCTCTATTTCTAAATAGCATATGACTTTTAGTAGAGCTGTCAAAAAGTTTATTTGGTCCAGCCTTAACCTTGACCCATGTGGGTTAGGGCCAAAAAGCCCAATATATTAAAAGCCCTATGGGCCAAAAAGCTCATTGGATCAGGGTTAAGACTAGGGTTTTGTGAGCTAAAAAATTAATGCAAAAATTCTTGTCAAATATCAATTTTTGGATTTCACAGGGCATTACAACATTAGGATTCATATAATTAATCCACTCTTTGATGATATCATGCTCCGCAAAGTTGAAAGGAAGATCATGTTTAATTGGCTTGTGCAAAGATGTTATGTTGAGTTTTTTGATTAATCTTTCTAGCACCAAAATTTGCTTGAGTTGGAACTGCATCTTTACTTGAACTTTGAATATTTTTACAAATTAAAACATGTTGACTTAAATGTGAAGTTCCATAATGATTTTTTGTCTTGGAATTTTTTCTAATAGCATAATCATGGCCACAATATTTGCACACAGTCCTTTCAACACCATCCTTATCTATACCGGTTTTAGTAAAATATTTTCAAACATTTAAAAAATGTTTCTTAGTTGTCTCGACACTTTTAGACAATACAGGAGGAGTTTCAGAAACAACTTTATCGTTTGTATTCATAGTCTTATCCATAGAGTTCGTAATATAATTTATAGTTTGTATGTATTAAAACAGACACAAAATAAAAATTAAAACAAATACATTTAAGTATTATTTAATAAATATATTAAAACGAAATGAATTTTATATGCTATAAAATTCATACTTATATCAATATATTATCTTTACTAAATAAATAATAAAGAGAAATTATCTTACAATACTTATTGCTTCATCCACTTAATCTCCTCTTTCTTGTCAATCTCAAAGTTTTCACTTTGTTCAATCATTCACCTAAGCCTCTGGTTGTTGTTTACTCTTAGAAACTTTATATTTGCATACACTCCTTTTTCTATCAAGCCTAAAACCATGGTGAATGGGTGCTCCTTGTTGTTCTACTATGTAAGCTATGCGAGCGGAAAAGATAATGGGAGGATAATTACTACTTTTGTTAGACATATATATAGTTTATATTATTTTTCTCTGCAAATGATAAGAAATAATAGGAAAAAGTACAATCACCAATCTTGGAGCCAAATAATCTGTCAGCAAGTAGAGATGTTAGGAAAATCAGGAGAACAAGAAACTCAAATCCCAGAACTTGTATTGTGGCTTGGCTGTGTACTTCAAAAAAACAAGAGCTCCATTAAACTAAAAAATATGAATGATGAGAAGTGATAAGGCCTGCTTTAGTGTATGAAAAAAGAGTTAAAATATCTAAAGCTAAAACACCTTGTACCAATGAATCTAATCTCCATCAGAATGTAAATTCAGAACATACTATAGATGAAGGACCATTTCTAGTTTATCACATAGAAACACAAGTTCCAATTGAAGCTCTATTGCACTGCCTTAAAATTTCTACTGTACATATTGGACAATTGGACACTAAAGCACCGTTTAAAAAAGAACGTTATCCTCACCCATTCGAAGTGGAAGGCAGTAAAATATCTAATAAAGCAACTTCCAATTCAATCATGCAGAATTGAAAAAAAAATAAAAATACTATTTATCTATACTATTGTTTGGGTAAGCAGATTAATTAAACATTTATTCAATAAATTGTTACTATATGAGAATTTAAAACATAAATTTCATAATAAAATTTATTAAATTAAATTAAAAATGTAAATTAGGACTTTCTAATCAAACGTGCATTGAATTGTCATAAACAACATTGTAGTCTGCAGTTGTTATTTATGAAAATTAATTTAAAGAAAAAACAGGTTCTATTTGTTTTTTATTTAAATGATCTATTCCCTTGTGACCATAACATGTCTTGAAGGGGCAATTAGTAAGGATGAAAAATTTGATTTCCCATAACAAATGTAAAATAATGAATCATCTTGCACATTGATGTAAGCATTGTGCATTTTTGCAGGCATTATGAGACATCAAAATTTTCTTGACTAAAATGAATAAAAGGGTATGGTATGTGCAATGTAATAATATAAAAAATATATTAGGAGTAACACAACAGTGATGAACTGGATAGCAATGATCACCCAAATCAAGTCACTGCATTAGTACATTCTTCCATGCCAAGTAGTTAGTTGGCAAGTCAAGGGCACAACATATCTTAAAATATACAAACAAACAAAAAACAAGATCTATGTCATGCTAGGTGGATATGATGAGGATAAAGACAATTTTTTTTCATAAGAAAGATAAATTTTCCTTAATCCATCCCACCCCGAGGGAAAAAAAACCACAATCAATCATTTAAACTACAAATACCATCTTTTAATACAAAGTAAACAGAAGGGACACCACTCATTAAGTATTCATTAAAAACATGTATATCACCCTCCCCCTATTTTTAAATGGATAAATCCTAAATAAATGCATAAAAAAAGTAGAGTACAATAGGATAAGGGAATTGAAATCAACCTTGGCTTTGCAATAGCTACATCCTTTGGAGATACAATATAGTAAAGTGGTTCATCACCTGCAGCCCACTGACCACCAGCATAACTGCTACCTACATTTGAATGAAAAACAATATTATGCATGGCCATTCCATATATAAAACATAGATGTCAGGAAACTATATATTACTGATGTCTACAGTAGGAAGGAACTAAAAGAATCTAGCTCTCTCAGGGAGGGAATGATTAATTTAATAGATTCAAGGGATGTAACAAGCTACACCAAGTAAGAGATGTAGAACATGTCGTTCATATAAACCGCCATTGCATAACCATTTATCAACCGATACTGCTCCCCATCAGATAAAAGTGAAAACCTATAACCACAGAAGTAGGAAAAATGGCACCGGAAATGACATTGTTCCCATAAAACAGAGATGGCTCATCCTAGGGGGTGAATAGTATCAGTAAATGTAGCAGATTTTCATTGAGGCATCAAAGGGGAATTTGGGAGGGAAAAATTGATTTGTATGGATATAAAAAAAAAAATGAGACAAGAAGATGGAAGGGTATGGAAAAAAGAGTAAAAGAGTGAGATAGAGTGCAGGATCTCTTGAATACCATGGGTTACCTATTTTTAGTTTCTCAGTTTTTTTTGTCTTCATCTCTAAATCCGCCACACAAGTACTGATATCCCACTAATATCAGTATCAGTAGATAAAGAAAAATTGATTTGTATGGATATAAAAAAAAATGAGACAAGAAGATGGAAGGGTATGGAAAAAAGAGTAAAAGAGTGAGATAGAGTGCAGGATCTCTTGAATACCATGGGTTACCTATTTTTTGTTTCAGTTTGTTTTTGTCTTCATCTCTAAATCCACCACACAAGTACTGATATCCCACTAATATCAGTATCAGTAGATAAAAATACAGTATATTCAACATAGCTGACAGTGTTTTAATCCAGTTTCAATCAATACATTATAAATAACATAAACTTAATGTTAACCTGAAAAGGGATCACGAGCAAGAGATGTTTGTCTATATTCCCCATGATTCCCTTTTTTAGACTTGAGCAAAAACAACAGGATCATTGAAGCTGTTGTTCACAGTAGGGTTGATCAGAGTAGCAACAAAACCAAGCAAATAGTAAATATAGAAAAATCAATAAATACCTTTGGAAGAAGATTGTAACCCTGCACGTTCTTCTATTTAGTTTGGAAATCTTGTGCGTTTTTCTCTTCACTTTGTAACCATGCATGTTCCAAATCCTTGCTTCAAAGGTCTGCAGATTTGGCAAGAATCTAGGCAAAGATTTGAAAAATTGAGACTGGGGCTTGTATGTTTTGGGCAAGATTTGGGAGACTTCAGAGAAGATTAGGATTCGGGTCCCTGGATAGAATGATTGTTTGGAATATCTCCATTCCTGGGCAGCACAAGACTTTTAGTATAGTGTCAAGAATATGGAGCCATAATAATATTAATCAAACTATTATCTTTACTAGTTTTACATACTAACTATTACCACAATTAACAACTTCTATATTGCTCCCATAATCATGCAAAGCCTTGTCAAGGTTGAGATCCTCTATCCCATGTACTGTGCAGTGGCATACCTAGGTCTTCATACTGATCCTCCTATAGGTGGGCTAGAGGACTAAATAAGAGTGATTTGTTGGGCAAAAAAACAGAGAATATATGTAAATTATGAGTGCTTAGGATCTTTCACTTGACCTTTATTTTTCCTTTAGTTTGTAATATACCTAAATAATCTAGGAAAGATAAAAGGTCTGTATCATATTTTCTGCTGCTGGACAATAATCTTATATGTATGCAGATGTATATTATGTGTG